AAAGCACCATTTGCCTATACATGGCCCCAGCCATCGAGCCCTTGCTCTAGAAGGAAATGGGCATCCCCCTCCGAGAGAGGGTCAGGGGGACACCCTGGAGAGGATCCTATGAAGGAGCCCCTGGCTGGATCTCTGGGGCTGTCAACACCCTGGGAAGAGGGCAGGGGAGCAGCGTGTAGCTGGGCTGGGGGGTGGGACAGCGCCAGTGCAGGGTGCTGGTTGGGACACATGGCTCTTCTTCATACTGGCCCCTTTTAACAAACAAGTTTCTCCGTGAACCGCAGCAGCTGCAGGCCCGAGACTGAGACAGCCAGGTCTATAGGGGAGGCCATGCAGAGGCTGGGCACCAGCTAAGAGCAACCACAAGGCAGCTCCTGACTTCCCCAGCCCCGTGCTCAAAGGCAGCATTGTGCAGTGGGTGGAAAGAGGCAGGCAGCCCCCAGCAGCAGCTGGGCCAGGCTGCAGGAAGGGCCAGGGCCTGCTTCTAGAGCAGGCAGCAGCTGCAGGGTGCTGCATGTGGGCTTGGCCAGAACGAGCTGCCACACGCGAGGCACCCAGCATTTCCCCTCTGCCCGTCCCCACCCCACACACCTGAGTCACGTCCATGAAGTTCCCGTGGCCCAAACAGCCGTTGCTGCCACTGCCAAATGTCATGATGATCCCTCTGTCTGGGGGAGCAGAGCATAGCCCCTCAGTACCAAGCACCATGTGCTGGGAAGCATGCAGCGCAGGCTGGCGAGCGTGGGGCATGGACCTCAGACCTAAGGAAGGCTGCTGAGCCAGGCTGCAAGCAACACATTGGTGCCCAGGACCAGTTGCTCTAGAGCTGCCCCGAAGCCTGGCTCCACTTCTGGGCTCAGGACTCAGGCAGCCACAGATGGGCTGTGACAATGACTGACACAGATGGGGTGGAGGATGGGAAGGCGCTGAGATAACATTATTCCAGCTGTGTACGCAAGAGCTGCTAATCCCACAGTCTGCAAAGGTGCTAAACACACAGGCCTATTCATTTAGCAGCCCCCTCCACCCCTGCGCAGGAGCCGCAGGAAGCCCTGAGCAGAGACAGGACAAACACACGCAGCCAGTTTGCCCCTGTGAGTCTCTCACGTATCCCCACCCCCAGCACAACTACAAACACGTAGTGCCCTGGGGCCAGCAGAAGGACTTGTGCAAACATCGTGCATTCCAGACTGGTGTCACAGGGCAGGCAGCTTGGAGAAAAAACAGAGGTTTCAGACCTGTGGGGGCTCCCAAAGCCCACCCCAAATGGGTCCCTTGCTGCAGTGCTGGCCCCAGTTTGCTCCTGGGGAGAAGTTCTCCCCGCCTCAAGGCCTCGGGGATCAAGGTGGGGAGGGCACTGCCATGATGTACCCTTTCTGCCCAGTCACTTGGATGCCTCAAGCCATGCAGAGTGCAAGGTGAGAAGGAGCCTCGCTCCAAGCAGCCCAGGACAGGCATGGCCTCAGTGTGGGGGAAGTCTGGAGCCAGTGTGCAGCTGTCGTGTTTGGGGCCTTAGCTGGCTGGCGGGTCTCCACATGCAGCTGATCTCTGTCCCTTGTTGCACGTTGGGACATGTCACTGAGTGGGGGCAGCTACTGCCAGCTCCGGGGCATACCTGTGAGGCAGGCGGAGAAGAGGTCACCGCAGGACACATGTTTGATGGTCACTCCTGACTGGCCTTCCAGGAAGCGAGACACAAACTGTGGCTGGAGCTGTTCCACGGCCCCTGGCAGCGAGGGCCCTCCAGCTGCGCCCACGGGGGGAGCCTGGCAGAAGGCCACAGGGAGGTCAGAGGCACGGGCCTTGCAGCTGGCCGGGAATGGGGGAGTGAGTGGAGGGTACACTGGATTCCCATGGCCCCCGCAGATCTGCCCCACTCACCTCCCACATGACCAGCCTCCCTGACTTTGTGACACCGGCCTTCTGGGTCCTCCCTGCCGACACCTGCACCACCTCTGTGCTCAGCATGGGTAGCCGGAGCGGGGTGCTGATCCCGCTGCCCCAGGCATAGACAGATGACAGGGGAAGGGGGATTCCGGTCCTGGAAGAGCTGCTGCGAGCACCTAGCACATCACACGAGATCATCAGCCCTCCCCCACTCAGCCTGTAAAGTGGGGGCCCAAGGGCTGCACTACAGGGCTGGGTCTCAGTACCTCTGCCAGAGGGTTACTAGGGGCACAGGACAGCTCTGCCAGTGGGTGCTGTCAGGGGAGAGGATGGGGACAGGGGAATGAGAGCACGGTTTGGTCAGGGGGACTGAGCGGCATTGGCAGCCCTTGCTGTTCATGGCCCAGTACCTGCAGGACAGCTCTGTGCTACCATGTTGCATCGCCATGACTCTGACTGACCCTTGGGCTGTGCGAGTTGGAGCAGTAGGGAACGCAGGCTCCGGGGGACAGGGGCAGAGAGCCTTGGGGTGGGGTGGGACTTGAGCTACACTGCCTTGCTGCTCCCTGCAGCCCCCACAGCATGGTCCTTCCAAACCAAAGTCCTGCTGAATACACTGCACTGCTCTCACCCCTGGGCCTTGCACTGGTCACTCGTCTGCCTGCCCGGCTGTGGGTCACTGATGGCACTGGAGCCACGGGCTTCTCAGGCCTGTCAAACAAAGGCACGGCTTCATCCTGCTAGTACAGGGAACCACCCAAGCCCCAAGCCGCCCTGCTGCAAAGTGAGGGGGACCAGGGACGTGGCCCTGTGGGTGCCAGCAGGGGTACAGCAGAAGATGCCATGCATGTCCTGGGGCTGGTCGTGTGCTAGGTCCTTCAAGCCTGACTGCCTGGCTCAGACAGTACCATTGTGCCCAGGGCAACTGCTCTGAAAGCAGGGGAGTACATGCACAGTGTTAACGACTGGCTGCACCTGCCCTCCCCCTCAACCCCAGGCTCCACATGCAGCAATGCACCAGACGCCAGGAGGATGAAGGGGAAGTGGGTCAACACCCAGCTCTCAGTCTCCTCCCCCCCAGTGTGGCTGGAGGGAAGCCCATTGCCAGTGCAGAGCTGCCTGCTCAGGGCCTGCATGCAAGGGCTAGCAGCATGGTAGCTGCGAGTGACCCTGCCCCTGGCGAGCTGCGGCAGCCTCCCTTGGCTGACTCCCATCCCAGCAGCACCACTTGCCTCTTCATTTTGACACTGCCCACGTCGGTGTAGAGGTTCAGGAGTGGGCGGATGCAGAGGGCCTGGGCCATGATCTCGTTCAGGGGGGGCCGCCTGGAGGGGTCCAGGTGGAGCATGCTGAGGATGAGCTGCCGCAGGTCCGGGCTGTACTGATCGGAGACAGGCGCGAATGTCCCGCTCATGATCTTCAGTACCAAGGCGGGAAGGTTCTGGAGGGCAGGAAAGGGACACGTGGATGGCAAACCCTGGGGCCTGCAGGTAACAGGAGCAAGACTAGGCCCAGAGCGGCAGGGCCACGCCTTTTGGCACACATACCACCACTCAGCCCCACACCCTCCATGACTGCCACCCCAACCCCCTTCCCCTGCCTCATCTCCTACTCTAACTTTTGCTCCCTGCCCTGTCTGCTGCTGTGCTCCCCCCGCCACATGCCATACAGCAGCTTCCCACCCCAGCCTGGGGCACAGCCTCCCCCTCCCACAATCAGATCACAGTCTGATCAGACAAAGTTCCCCATGCCATGAAGAGCAGGTTTCCCTGCTCTGAGCACTGCCCCAGCCCTTGGCCTTACTGCAGCTTCGAAGGCCCTCTTGAGACTGGCGAGTTCATAAAGCACGCAGCCCAGGGCCCAGATATCGCTCTTCTGGTTGTATGGTTTCCCTTCGCACAGCTCTGGAGAGATGTAGCATGGAGTTCCCACAACCTGGGAGGGGAGAGACCTACCTGTATCATGGCACCGCAGGGCCCATGGAACAGAGCCATGCGCTTCCAATGGGAACATGGAGGGGCTGGGACAGGCCATAGCACCCTTGGCAGCGAGTGCTGCTCAGGACTGTGCCACCACAAGACCTGCCTACTGCCAGGCAGAGATGGCCTCCCGCTGCCCCTCTGATCCTGCAGCAATGAGCCTGGCATAAACCGTCTGGACAGATTAGGTTAGATTAGACAGGGAATGGTACCAAAGCCTCACGCAGAGAGAGATTAGAGAGATACAGTGGGCCAGCAGGGCTCCAGGAGGACTGCAGGCGCTTCCAGCAGCTAATGGATCAGGCAGGCGGGAAAAGCGCCTGTGATACTCCCCCCTGGGTGACACCATCTGCTGTCCCCTGCCCCCCCACATAGACTCCCAGGCCTTTGTCACCCCTCTGGGATGCTGAGCTACGGTGCACCCAGCGTGAAGTCCCAGCCCACAGCACAGGGCAGATGCCACACCAGCTCTCTGCTCGGCTTCCCCCAGGGCCTGCCTGAGAACACAGCCCTGACTCCCACAGGGACCGCCCCAAAGCCCTCTCCTAGGGCAGCATGCTTCCTCAACTTCCCTCCTCCACCAGTGCCAGGCAGCACAGGCACCTAACAGCAACCTGCTCCCACACCCACCTCTCCCTGCCAGGCAATGCTCCCTTGAAGAGGGGGACAAGAAAAGGAAACCGCACGACAGCTGCGGTTCACGCATGGCTGGAAGTTGCTGGGAGGCCCAGGTGAGGACGGAGGCAAAAGAACCGTGATCGACTAGGACAGAGCGCTCTTCACTGTTGCAGGAAAATGGGACCTCAGCGAGTCGGGGAGCCAGACACCTGGCGTGTACACTATTGACCCCTGATGACAGCAACTAACATATGCGGATCTAAGTTTCCAGAGAGGAGCGTGGGCCTGAGGAACACGACCGCTTAGATGGAAAGACCCTGGGACCGGCCTGGGCGTGGACCCACCGTGTAGGCTTTGCTTTTGCTGCTCAGGATTTTGGAGATGCCAAAGTCCCCGACCTTAACGATCATGCGGTGCTCATCCAGTAGGATGTTCTGTGTCTTGAGGTCACGGTGTAGGATTTGCTTGGTGTGTACGTGGTGCAGGGCCAGCAGGATCTGCACGAAGAAGTGCAGGATGGTGTCTTCGTCCAACAGCGAGCTGCCCCGTTTGTGGATAAACTCCGCTAGCGTGCCCCCTGCAATGAAGCGCAAAGAGCAGGTGGCTCAGCAGGGCTGGGCTGGCCCTAGGCCACGGGCAATGGGACACAGTAGCATCATAAACGCATGGGGCTTGCAGCCCCCAGATACAAGGCGTGAGTTTGACCTCTGCTCCTGGCTTATGCCAAAGGCAGCCCCCAGACAGCCCGGGTGTGAAGGGGCACATGCTCACTTGGGCAGCGGAGTCAGAGGCAGCCGGCTGTGATCCCTGCTGCCCCAAGGAGCCCTGACTACGGATACCAGCGTGCCTCCTCGCTCGCCTGAGAGGCGGGCAGCCTTAAGCAGACCTCTACTGATTGCTTGGACCTACAGTCCAAGCGCGTCCAAAGTCATGTGCAACCGTGGACTGTACCGCACGCTCTCCACCGTGCCAGTGACTACTAAGAAAGCAACAGAGCCCGGTAGGCATGACGCAGAAACCACCATGGAGGTTCACATTAGCGTATTGTCTGCAGCAACTAGAGGAAGACTGCAAAAACCACATGCAACCTCAGCTGCTAAACGAGACGAGCCTGTTCTGCTGCGGGAGACTCTCGCCGTTGAGCAAACCCATGTGGCGTTTCGAGGGGCCCCGCGGGGAGCCCAGGTTTTATGCTGCGGGTCCGCAAGCCCCGCTACAAGCAGCGTCGATTTGGAGGCTTCGTGCTTGCTCGAACAGACTCCTTCCCGGCCGCGGCGAAACCGGCCGGAAACAGAAGCGAAACTGAGAGCACCTAAATGAGGAGCAGGAGGTAGCGGAGCGGAGAGCAGCGAAACCTCTTCCTGCACGCCTGACCCTGGAAAACCCGCCTCACGGCTGGGGGCCGCGGGGGGAGACGGCCGAGCACAGCACGCTCGTCATGCCTCGAGCAAAACCCTCCACGAGAGGTGGGGCCGCACCTGGCGCGTACTCCATGGCGATCATGAGGGCCTTGTCCTCCAGGAAGTTCTCGTAGTACTCGATGACGTTGGGGTGGCTCAGCAGCTTGAGCACCTGGCACTCATTCTGCGCCGCCAGCCGCTCGTCCTTGCTCATCTGCTCCACCGGGATCTGCTTGATGATCACCAGCTTCTGGTCGGCCTTACGCAGGCATAGGTGCACGATCCTGCAAGCGGTGCGGGGGGGCTGCAGCCGGCGCACGTACCCCAGTGCATGGCGGGGCACGAGGGGCAGCGCGCCCAGGGGGTACAGCTTGTGCCAGCCTCCCTTCCCCTTCCCCTTCCCCCTCC